CTCCTCGCGAACCTTGACTCCCCTGTCTCAGATCGATCGCTCGTGATGCACATGCTGAACGGGCTCTCGGAAAATATGATAGCATTCTCAATGTTATTCAGCATCAAACCCCTTTTCCCTCCTTCACCAAGGCTCGTTCGATGCTACTCATGGAGGAACAGCGGCTTTTGAAACAAGTCAAACCTGTTCCTCAAGTTCCCGAATCCTCACCACCATCAACAGTCATGTACTCATCATCAGATCAACAGTCCGATCAACAACAGCAGCGCCAGAACTATGGTAACAATTGTGGACGTGGACGCGGCGGTTAGAACAATCGGGGTCGGGGTCGCAACAACTACAACAACAACTATGGCCCCGGTCCTTATGCGTATCCGCCTTACTGTGGCAGTACACTCCATCATACTCGGTGCCTCCACCATATCCTGGACCATCACCTTACGCTCTCCACTGCCGTATTATTCTGCACCTGCGCCGCACTCGTCCTCGTCTCACAGCTCTACTGGAATTTTTGGTCCATACCCGCCTCAGCACCATCACTCCAGTGAGGCCCATTATGCTTACCAGACGCCTACACCGTCGTCTGCGGGCAGCTCCAACAACTACATTCCCTCTGTTCTCACCAACGCGTTCAATACCATGAGCGTTCAAGATCCCTCTGCGCACTATTGGTACATGGATACCGGCGCCAAAAATCACATAGCAAATTAGTCAGGTACGCTACGTTTTTTTTTAATAAGAGCAAACATATTCCTCATGTTACTGTAGGTAATGGTTCCACCGCCAATGTTACTCACATGGGTCACACGAGTTTCATCACCAAATCTCGTCCACTTCACCTTCGTAATGTGCTTGTGTGCCCATCGATTGTGAAGAATCTCGTATATGTGCGCCGGTTTGTGACTGATAATGGATGTTCTGTTGAGTTTGACCCTTTTGGTTTTTGTGTTAAGGACCTTCGAACGCGGACAAAGCTCCTCTGATGTGACAGCTTGAGACCTCTATACTCCATCACGCCCACCTCACCATCCTCCGCACATGCATTTTTATCAGTTTCTGCACCGCTTATGCATCGTCGACTTGGTCATCCTGGATCATCGACCACCCACTCTCTTATTTCTTCTGGTGTTATTTCTTTTAAAAAGACCTACATGACAAAATTGTGTCATGCGTGTCAGTTAGGCAAACATGTTCGTCTACCCTTCTCTTTATCTACTACATCTACTGTTAAACCATTTGAAGTTATACATTCTGATTTATGGACGTCTCCAGTTCTGAGTATAAGTGGTTTTAAGTATTATCTCATCTTTCTTGATGATTTTAGTCACTATGTTTGGATTTCCCCCCTGCGACGAAAGAGTGAAGTCTTTGCATCTTATCTCCACTTCTAAGCTTTGGTTCACATTTATTTTGGACAGAATATTATGTCTCTTCAATGTGACAATTGGAAGGGAGTATGACAATGGACAGTTTCAGACGCTTTTTGCCACTACCGGAACCGTATTTCGCTTTTCCTGCCCTTATACGTCTCAACAAAACGGGAAGGCTGAACGCAAGCTTCATACCCTCAATAATTTGGTGCACACTCTTCTCATTCAGGCTCATATGCCTCCGACTTATTGGGTTGAAGCTCTATCTGCTGCAGTTCATCTTCTCAATTTGCTGCCATCATTGTCTATCTCGCAAGCAGTCCCATTCACCAAGCTCTTCAACAAGCCTTCTCAGTATGATCATCTTCGAGTGTTTGGGTGCCTGTGATATCCAAATCTGCTTCCACTCACGCCACACAAGCTTGCTCCTCGCTCCATGCCTTGTGTCTTCTTGGGATATCCAACTGATCATCGTGGATATCAGTGCTTGGATCTCTCTACCAATAAGGTCTTTCTCTCTAGACATGTGACTTTTGATGTGGATACATTCCCTTTGGCGTCCCTGTCTCCTATGAAAAGACCATTGCCAGAACTTGAGGTCACACCACCGCCGATCATACATCCATCTTTGCCGGTTTTGGCTCTACAACCAACTGCTCCGGCACCACCGCCCTCATCACCTCTGCCTCAGCCAACTACCTCAACACATCCGATGACTACTCGTGCTCGTGCTGGTATATTCAAACCTCGAGAACACTTATGACTTCACACAGATGTTGTTTCCCCTCTTCCGTCGTCGCATGTTCAGGCTTTGAGGGATCCAAATTGGAATCCTGCTACTCATGAGGAATATAATGCTCTTATTAAAACTAGAACGTGGTCTCTTATACCACGGCCAAAGTTTGCTAATGTTGTTCGTTCTATGTGGTTGTTTAGGCACAAATTTGATTCAGGTGGGAAGCTAGTGCACTACAAGGCTCGTTTAGTGGTGAATGGTAAGTCTCAGCAGCAAGGCATCGACTGCGACGAAACATTCAGTCGTGTCATCAAACCGGCTATAATCCGTGCTGTTCTAAGTGTTGCTGTTGCGCGTAATTGGCCTCTTACAACTCAACATCAAGAATGCGTTTCTACATGGTGATCTCGAAGAAACAGTGTACATGCATCAACCTCCACGTTTTCGTGATGAATCCAAACCTGATCATGTTTGCTTACTTCACAAATCTCTTTATGGTCTTAAGCAAGCTCCTCTTGCATGGTACACGGTTTGCTGTATTTTCTCGTTGTATCGGATTTCGTCAAAGTACTAGCAATACATCGCTGTTTATCATGATTCGTGGTACTGAACGTGTATATCTTTTACTTTACGTTGACGATAGCGCACTTTCAGCCTCCACACCGTCGGTTTTGAAGTCGATTATTGCCTGTCTTCATTCAAAGTTTGCTATGACTGATCTCGGACCATTGCATCACTTTCTTGGAATCTCTATATGTCGCAATCAACAAGGCTTGTTTCTTCATCAGCACAATTATGCAGCCGATATTCTTCATCGTGCCAATATGACTGCGTGCATCCCTTGCTTGACTCCCGTTGACACAAAGCCCAGGCTTGCGGCTGATGCGACTCCTCCGATGAAGGATCCTACTCTCTATCATAGTCTTGCTAAAGCTTTGCAGTATCTCACCTTTACTAGACTGGATATCACTTATGCTATACAGCTAGTTTGTTTGTTTATGCATGATCCTCGTGAAGCAAATTTTCAAGCTTTGAAGCGCATTCTTCGCTATGTTAAAGGTACGATCTCTCACGGGTTGCAGCTGTATCGGTCTTCTTCAACAACTCAGCTCACAACTTACTCTGATGCTGATCGGGCTAGGTGTCCAACTACTCGTCGTTCAACGTCTGGATTCTGTGTTTTTCTTGGTGACAATTTGATCTCTTGGTCTTCTAAGCGGCAACACACGATCTCCAAGTCTAGTGCTCAAGCGGAATATAGAGGTGTGGTGAATGCTGTGTCCGAGTTAACATGGCTTCACAACTTGTTTCTTGAAATGCAGTGCCCACTCCACCGCACCTCTGTTGTCTTCTGTGACAATGTTAGTGCTGATTACATGTCTGCTAATCCTGTTCAACATCAACGCACCAAGTACATCGAGATTGACATCCATTTTGTCTAGGAACGTGTAGCACTTGGCCATATTAAAGTTTTACATGTTCCTTCAGCTTAGCAGTATGCCGATATATTTACCAAGGGACTACGTTCCAAGCTCTTCCTTGACTTTCGATCCAGTCTGAACGTTCGAGAACCTCCCGCTCTGACTGCGGGGGAGTATAAGACTTTAGGAAAATAGAATATTTCCTTTATACGATATTGTCAAATATGTAAAGATTACTTGGAGGTTACTCCTCTTGTAACTATATAAGGATTGCCTCAATAATAGAATTCTCTATGGAGTTCATAATCTTACAGTAACATTGTTTTCCAAACCAGATTATTTGGAAATTGTTTTGAACACAAAGATGTTGTATTATTATAATTAAGTGAAAAACAGAACATCTTTACAAAATAGTCTAAAAAACAGAGTAAAACACTTGCATTCGTGATTTAATAATTTTCCTTTTGAAAATTGGTATAAGTTCTTTTCATTTTGGAGATTTTGCAATATGAATTCTTTTCATTTTGGAAAAATTGCAATATTTATGATTCTCAGTTTCGCTAAGATATTGTGTGTATGAGTTGACTAAAGTTGAATTCAAAGTAAACCATAGGTTTAAATTTATTGCATGTATTGATTTGGTAGCTGACTCTAGCGTTTTACAAAATTGCAAATTTAGTTATTGAAGATATTGTGTGTAGGTTAACTAAAGTTGGATATAACATCAGTGCTATTTTAGGCATAGATTTACTGATCGCTCTAGACAAGATTACATAGAAATCTAATGAATTCATCAACTTTAGTGTTATACACGTTTACTCATAGTCCAATTTGTAAGTGTTTTGCCTATTTTCCATGATTTACGCTCCTTTGCTATTTACAATTTTATGTGTTGTTGTTGAAGTATGTTTATTATGAATATTGGTATACTTCCGGCACAATGAAATTACCTGTGTTCTACTGGCTAGTTCTCATTGCTTATCATAAGGCACCAAAATCCTACAACCATTTCATTTCCTCATCAAACATAAATAGTGTGGGAGCTTTCAACGAACAAAATAATGATATCTTTGTTGCAGTTTCTATCGTTTGAATTATGAGTTTTTTAACCTATATTTTTTTCGTTATATTTGTATTTTGGTTATTAGATGTTGTATGTTTAAAGTAGTTGTTTTAATTTTCTTTGGTATAATATAAATTTTTGAATTATGTTTTTGAAATTCTTTTGTGTGCAAAGTGCAGACTAAACATCTAGTTAGAAAATAAAAAATCAAATATTATGAAAGACTATTTTTAATGTCAACAGTATTATTTTAATCATTTCTATTTTTTTGGTTTATATATTTTTTTAACAAATTTTCTTCCCAATTTGTTTGTTTTGCAATTTTTATTTTATTTTTTAAGTTAGCCGTTTTCTTTTCCGAAACAATTAATTTTCGGGAATTTTATTACAAGTTACAACTTACCGAAAAAAGAAAAAAAAATATATCGAGCCAGTGAATATGATGACTTGGTGGCCTCACAAACTCGAGGCTCTATTCAACGACTGATGGCTAGTCTTCGTGTGTGCCATGTGGATCCAATCTGTCGTCGGCGTCGGTTATCTATTCGGCGGCTCTATGTCGCCGGCGATCAAGACAGCCCTAGGTTACAACCAGAAACAGATCGCGCTCTTCTCGGCATAGCTAAGAACCTAGGTGACGCAATCGGGTTCGTCTCCGGTGCCTTATCGGAGGTCTCACCGTCCTGGGTGGGTCTGCTCATCGGTGCGACTCAGAACCTTATCCGCTACGGTGTTCTCTTGCTCGTATCACAGGTCAATTGCCTAATTTACCCCTCTGGATGGTGAGATGACTTTTCAAATACATTTGTTTGCGTTTCCCATCTGAATTTTTGTTTAGTCACTATGATTCTCTGTTTCCTTATTTTGACCAAATATGAAGATGTAGGAGACTAGATATTGTTCCTTGAATGATATAATGGATAGATTTTGTGAATATGACCAGATTTCAACAAATTTAGATTGTGTATAGTAAGTATATGATCGGTTTACAAGAAGCAAGATTGTTTGTAGTAGGTATGTGATCAGATTACTAGAAGTAATTTTACTAATTTAGATTGTGATTATTAAGTGTTTGGTCTAGGCAATGTTAAGTTTATTTCATATGTGGTATGTATGAATTTACTTACTGAGCACGCAAGAACGCTAGATATTATTTTGAGAATTTCACTTTTTGAGAGAATTTAGGGCATGTGAATGCAATAATGCATTTTTCTTTGTGGTAAATACTGAGTAAAATGAACTGGATCTGGATATCAAGAAAGTTATGAGTAACTATTATACATGATTTGATATAGAGTATAGATACTTTAATGTATATTCACTTGCTAAGGTAAAGGCTTGAGAACTGTTACTATCGCAATGCTACATGGAACAGATGCTATAATGTGGTATATGCAAGCTAAATGGAACAGATGCTACACCCTAGCAATCTGGTTATGAACTGGTGATGGAATTTTTTCGATAGACTTTCTAGCACCATTGCTCGACTCCATTGGAATCTAAATCATATTTCATTCCTTAGTTTAGTTGCTTAGCATATCACAACTGTTATTCATTAGTTTTGAGCTTTTCTTATGTAAGCAAGTTTTCCAAGCTTGTTTGGGAGAGATTTAAGAACATAGGCAGATAAAGTTCACTGCCATAAGTATGATAATGAAGTGGAGAAATGTTTAAGTCCTTCTCTAAGCATTTGCCCAGTTTTAAGGGAAGTTGGTGATAAACAGACGAATTCTTGGACATGTTACATAATTTGATAGACAACGTAGAAAATAAGTTAGTTTCTTAAACCTTTGTTGGCAAAGACTGAAGCACGTATGCAGATCACTTTGACAAGTACAAGATGGCCTACATATGTCAAACACTTGAGTTCTTACGGATGTTTGGAACATTGCCTGGAGTATCAAAAACTATTTAACTTGTTTTTCTTGACTAGTTATAGATCACATACTTTTAGTAACTAACTTTAGCTAGATGTCATATCTTAATTCTTTGAAGTTCCATTGGAGGAGATTAAGATTTTAAGGGGAAGCAGTTATGTCACAAGTAGACAATGAAATAGATGTTTTACGCTGTAACAAATTAGCTATGAATGATAACTGTATTCTACCACTTGTATCTGTTAGTATCATGCATGATTTTATTGCCATATTAAAATTTCTTTTACGTTCATTTAGTAGCTTAATATGTTAGGTGTCAATTTTCTGAATACTCAGGAGAGATTTGAGAACATATGGAAATGTTGAGCTTCACTTGATAGGAGTTTATAAGAATATATGTCAATGCATTTTATACAGGATGACAAATATAGTTTGCATTTGTACGAATTTGACTCTAAAGCTGTTGCTTTTCATTTCATTTAAGCTTTAGACGTGATGTGCTGTATAGATTTAGTATCGGATACAACTTTATACCCAAATTTGACATAAGTGTATCACAGATGTCATAAGTTAATTTACTGAACTTATTTCAAGAGAGATATAAGAGCATAGTTGACTGTGACAAATATGAGGCAGGAATGGAATAAACGTTGATTCTTTAAGTGCTTGACTAATAAGTCACTGGAGTTTAGACAAAGAGAAGAATCTTTGGGATCAAATAACTAACTTTGAAAATATTTCCTACAGTAGTTTCATTAAGCTGAGGATTCAAATTAGACTTCACTTACCATTTTCTCATTTGACAATTGATCTTAAATTAAGGAAAGCTGTATGATGATCAACTTTTTTTGAAGAATAGTATGATGATGATGATGATAAATTTCTAGGTTTTGTTTCTTACGTATATATTTTTGCCTTCGAAGTATTTTTGGGTATTACTTGCAAAAAGGCAGTCATTTTTTTTTCCTGATTTTGGTTTCTTAATTCATAGAAAGTGACAGCTTTGTTCATGCAGTTGTTTATTGCTATTTTCGTGGGAACAAATGGTGAAACCTACTACAACACAGCATCTCTTGTGTCATGCATTCACAACTTCCCGGAGAGCCGTGGCCCTGTAGTGGGAATCTTGAAAGGGTTTTCTGGTTTGAGCGGAGCAATCTTGACTCAGGATTATTTGATGTTCAATCCCTCTCATGATTCCTCGGTTATTCTCATGGTTGCTCTTGGACCACCACTCGTTGTTCTTGCTCTACTATATATTGTTAGACCCGTGGAAAGAAGCTACAGAACAAACTTGTGCTCCGATGATTTACGATTCTTGGCTATTTTTGTTTCTGTCTTGTCCTTGCAGTATATTTATTAAAAATATTGGTGCTTCAGAGTCTTGTTGATATAACTCAAACAGTTATCACAATCTCTGGAGCAATCCTTGTCGTTTTCATGGTTGTTCCAGGTCTTGTCCCTTATTCATCGGTTTTCATCTCGGGTAACAGTGCAACCTCAATGAAGCTCGAAGAAGCAACCTCTACTGTGGATAAGAATGAGGTTAGAACTTTGATCGAGAGGAGTGAGATAAAAGCGCCGAGAACAGGAGAAGATTTCACCTTGTTACAGGCTTTGAGACAAGTTGACTTCTGGCTTATATTTATGTCTCTCGTTCTAGGTGTTGGTTTGGGGATAACGGTTATAGACAATCTTGGTCAGATTTGTTACTCCCTTGGGTATAACAACACCAAAGTATTCGTCTCACTGATCAGCATCTCCAATTTTCTCAGCCGTGTTGCTGGTGGCTACTTCTCAGAGCTATTTATAAGGTACAATTACAAAACCCAAACCATTTCACTTTCAAATCTAAAACATAAAAACTAACTGACATGTGTAATATCTTTCGTCCTCTTCACAAGAAAACTCTCACTTCGAAGAACATGAGTGTGGTTTATAGGACGAGGAAGTTTTACTTCAGGCTTCACTGAGTTTCCAACACTTGAATTCTGCTAAGCATCTACCCAAGTTGCTATTAAGAGTTCAAATATATTGATTGTATTTTTGAAAGATGATTAGCCAAAAGAGTTAGATAATGTATTACATAAACAACTACAATGTTATATTAAACGTTCAAATATATTGATTGAATTATTGAAAGATGATTAGAGAAAAGAGTTAGATAAATTATGTTACTTCACCATTTAATAAACTTCAACCTATGTTCCTTTGCACATATTTTATGTCTTCTATGAATTTAAGTACATCATCGCATAATAATAATAATGTACAAAATAGTGTTATCACTTATACCACCATATTTTATACTATAATCCCTTCAAAATCTAATCAAGTATGAAACATATTCTTAACTATATTAATAATTTTATAGTCTAATCCCTTCAAAATCTGATCATGTATGAAACATATTCTTAACTAATTATTAATGTTAAGCCATAAGGACAAAGTAGCATACAAACTCTTCAAATTTCAAACTAACTGTTCCCACACAATAATAATTTGTAGATAGAAAAAAATATTTCTCCTATTTTACCGTAAACACGAAAAATTGACTGCAATAAATGACAGAGAAAAATAAAAGACACATGTTGACTGGCTTGCTGATCCAAAGAAGTAAGAATTATTACTCTTATTGGAATATGGAAGTATATTGGCCAATGTTTGACTAAATATATGTTTGAATATGGGAAAAAACATAAGTTGCATAGAAAATTAGTAATTTTACCATAATTTTTTTTTTTGGTAAACTAATACTTTACACATCACCTATCTTAATCATCGTTATGGTGAGATTCTATTTAAAGTCACCGTAAAAGAGTTTCTCTCAACACCTAAACCACAGATTAAAGACAACATTAAACAAAACAAAAAACGTATAGGTATATCTAGTAGGATTCATCTAGTAATCTGAGTGGTAGCCAAAGAAGATAGAGGAAACATATGAAACAGTTCATTCTGATTGTATACACTATATGCATAGGTATATATTTTTATGACCTTGTATCGTACTCTTATGTTATTTATGTGCGTTTTTCCGTGTCTCTGTCTCTCGTGTTTAAATGCGCGTTTTTAATTTGCATGCATACATATATACATATATACATATATACATATATACATACATACATATATACATACATATATACATACATACATACATACATACATATATACATACATACATACATACATACATACATACATACATATATACATACATATTATTTTAGCTTTATATGAAATTGGATTCTTCAGTTTTAAGAATTGTCTTAACCTGCGTTTTCTGTTGGTTATTGGGTACTCTTTTCCTGTGTTTTCTGTGTGTTTTGATAAAGAGCTGGAGTAATTTAGTGGGTTTAATAGTCTGAATAGTGTTGTGAATTTAATTGATTTCTTTATGTTTTTAGTTAAGATCACTGATGTGTAGTATACTTCTAAAAAAAACGATCAGCCATGCTTACTTGATGCTAAATCATGTTTGTTTTCAAATTATCAGTGTTTGGGTTTTGATTTTCAAAGAAGCTTTTTAATTATATCAGTTTTCCTTCTTTTCAAACATCTATGTTGAAAACTCTTTGTGTTTAGTGATGTTTTTTTATATTCCATCTTAGAATTTAGGCAAATGAAAGACTTTTTGGTTTTTAAAAGTATTTTTGCATGCAAATTCTACTAATATTATAAAATTTGCAATAAATTTTCGCTCACAAAATATTTAATGATTTAAATTTTGCAATCAACTTTTGCCCACAAACCATCAATACATTATTTTTCAGATGTCTTAAAGTAGTTAAGTTTTAAAGAGAAGTCGGATGAATTCTTTTTCTAAAACTTTAGTATCTGCATTTATAGCTTAGAGGAACAATATACTTGGATCGTTAACCAAGTAACCAAATACTCAATCTCTTTTCATCTTTTATGGTTTCAGTGAAATGGATTTGTCATCTCCATCGAGATTTCTGGATCCCATTTTCTGGTTCAAAATTGTTCAAGAACTTAAAATAATGTTTTGTAATATTTTTCTTCTATGTTTTCGCAGTGTTCGATAACTTAATTAAACCTAAATTTTTTTGGTAAACTTATTCTTTACACATCACATATGTTAGTTATCATTATGGTGAAGTTCTATTTAAAGTCATTATTAAAAAGTTTTTATTTCAACCCCTAAAGCACAAAGAAAACATAAAAAAAAAAACGTATAATTGTTAATATTTCATCTACACGCAGAGATATTAGGTACATATCTTCATGATCTTGAATCATATTTTTTTCATTTATGTGCAATTTTTCTTTGCCTCTCTCTCTCTCTCTCTCTCTCTCTCTCTCTCTCTCTCTCTCTCTCTCTCTCTCTCTCTCTCTCTCTCTCTCTCTCTTCTCTTCTCTCAATGCATCTCTTAATTTGCATGCATTTGATTTTGGCGTTTTATTAACATTGGACAGTTTTATGATTTGCACACTGAACAAGTACAACAACAACAACAATCAACACTGGTTTCTTCATGACAGTTTTATGAGTTTGATTGTGGAGAAACAAGTGTTGGCTGTTGTTGCTGTTGTACTTGTTCTCAATAAGTCGAATTGGCTATTGGGTACTCGTCTCCTGTATTTGTGGGTTTATAGTCTGGATAGTCTTAGGATATTAGATATAGGACATTTTGTTTTCTTTCTGTGAATTCAATTAATCGTTACAATTATCATGGTAAATAATCAAACCGAGCCTAATGCTTAGCTGCCTACTTTCCAAATCATGAAATAAAATAAGAACAATCAAAAGTTTGTATCTGATAGGATTAATGCATACTGGAGCAAACCGAGGCAGGTGCTGAGTGACCAAATCAAGAACCTGACTCATCTGTTCAGAGCTTTCCATAAGCTTTCAAAAGACATGGTGGCCAAAAGGGTCCACCATCAACTCACAAATGTGAAAGACGACTTCGTTGAAAACCACATCAATCGTCTCTTTGGAACCAACATATATCTTTTTCTACAAATTGTTGCTATTGGTTCAAGGAGACGATTGATATGGTTTCAACAATGTCATCTTTCACGTTTGTAAGCTGGTGGTTGACCCTTTTTGTAATCATGTCTTTCATAATCTTATGGAGAAGTGTAGCTCTAAACAGATCTCTCAAGTTTTTGATTTTGACACTTAGCACCAGCCTCGATTTGTTACCATTTCAATCCATGAGTTAAATGACTAAGAAACGTAATGGCCAAAACCTCAGTATTAAAGATCATTCATGGCGAATCAGGCAGGATAGACGGAGACGTTTAACACAATTTTCGAGTATAAAACAAGAACAAGGGCAAAGAGTAATGGACCTCGACCAACACAATTCTACTCACACTCTACATTCAACTTCAATCTAGCTCTTAGCTCAAATACTTATCGTTTATTTGTTCTTGTTCTAGAACAGAATTTTTATGCAATAAAATAACTTGAGTTAATTGTTTGAAGACCTAATGTTTGAATACCGAGGCAGATATTCAATCAGAAATGTTATGCAATAAAATAACATGAGTTAATTGTTTGAATAGCTAATATTATTTTGACCAACCTGCATGAAAAATAACATTAGTTAATTGTTTTAGCTGGAAATACAACCGTCTAAATTTGTAAATAGTAAATATAGAAGAGTCTTGGATCAATCTTTAAGAAGAGAAGAATTGAATGACTTATCGAGCAATAAACAATTATTTTGTTGCTCGATAGAAACAAGCAAGATTTGAGAGAGCTTTGGAGAAAGTTTTAGCAAAGTGAACTGGTCCTTTGTATTACAATTCCCAAAAGAGTTTACAATAACAAAAACAAAGAAAAGATAAATGTTTGAGCTAAGAGTTAAACTGCAGTTGAAAGTAGAGTGTGAGAGAATTGTTTCGGACGAGGTCCATTGCTCTTTGCCCTCATTCTTGTTTTATACTTCGAGATCATTTTTAACGTCTCCGTCTAGGTCTATCCCACATGATTTGCAATGATTGGTATTCAAGACTGCATTACGTTTTAGTCATTTAACTCATTGGTTTGGACGGGTCTTTGGTCTTGGTAAGATAGACTTATGTTTCTGCATTTAATTCTCATTTGACCATTAGATCGTTCATCCCAGTGTACTTTTAAGGTCGGCCAGATATCTGTTTCCATTTTTTGATCTCGCTAGATTCTTTGACCTCGTAAACCCTTTTACCACTGATTTAGGGCTTGTCTGGTTTAACGCAGCGGTTGCGGTTGCGAGTGTAGGAGTTTGCGGTCGCGGACGATTGCGGTTTTGTACGTTATTAAGCGATTTGCACGACTGGTTAAACTTTTTAAGGCAGGTCGTTTGCAAGACATTTTTGACTGGCAAACCAGCAGATGTTTTAGCGGTTAAACATAAAATTACCAAAATAAACATCATATATAATTATAAAAACAGAAAAACTATATTAAGGTTAATATCAAAATAATTAAACAAATTATAAATAAATACTAATTCATTACTTTAAAACCTAATAAATTTTATAATAACATGTTTTTCTTTCAATTATTGGGAACATCACCCAAAATTGTGTCTAGTTATGTAATAGACTGGAAAAAAATTTACTCCAATACGTGGATCTTCTGGATTCGTCTTATGCATGATGTAAATTTTTTTCAGTTGATCTAATCGATTTTTTTGCACGATCCCAACTCAAATCAACTCCAAATTGCTCCTTAATATTCTTCAGAATACGTTCTCTCTGGAGTGCACTCAAAAATCTTGGTTCTTTATCTCCAGTTTGTTTTTTCACAATGATCCGTTGAAGTAACGCACATGTCATCTCGTTTGATCATGTAACTTTCTGAAGAACAAAAAAAAAAGAATTATAACAAACTAATTTTGTAATTAATAAGATATATATTTATAATTTTTTACTTTAAAAGTGAAAACAGAACAATTAATATGAATGAACTAAACCAAAGTATTATAACACTTATGCTTGTATCTTAATTTTCTTCAACTTGTATGAAAGCCTTGATTAGAGACTAGAACTTGATAGAAAAAATGATAGGTTAGGGTTTTTATATATAGGAGAAGATTAGTAGGGTTAGCGTGATTTTTATTTTCTTATTTTTTTAGCTAACCGCTATCGTCCGCAACCGCAAACGCTGGCGGGAAGCAGCTTTTGAATT